CAGGAAGCTTGAGAGCTATAGGAAGTTTCAGAAGTAATGAGTGTATGCATTGTGATATTAAGATATGAAAAAATTTATTTAGAATTGTATGAAATCAACTCAGCAGCTTTAAAACTATCATTAATTTTATTCTCATTCAGAGTCTATATATGAGTAGTAGAATATAAAGTCAAAAACTTTTTTTTATTAATGTGATTGATTTCAAACTGCATCTACTTCTCTATCAGTTGTCTGTACACTGTTTTCAGAGAGAAGAAGTAGTCAACATTCAATGACTTAAAAAGATAAAAGAAATGAACTGTCATGTAGAGAGTAATAATATTGTTCTTAAAGTAAAATCAACCAAATTCAGCTGAAGTATGACTTTCATATTTATTAAGAATTAACAGTTAGTATTTATTCTTTGTATGAAGTAGAGTGTTTTTATTGAACATCTTCTTCAGTCAATACAGATTTAATTTGTCAGTTATCTAGTTATTATCACTGACTTCAATAACTTAGTTGTCTAATAATTCTTCCATCTTATATCAACAGAATTGATGTACTTTTACTTTGAAAATGATTATTATATGAAGAGCTCAATCTGTGGCATTGATTTCAGCAATAATAATCACTTATTCTTGATTTTCAGATTGAATCAGTTTTGAATGATTGATTTTTTTAGACTCAGTCATCACTCTAGCAGTGCTAATAACTCTTATCTAAAATTCAATCTTATTAACATTGTAGATATTATCTTTTAGAATTTTATACCTTGCAATAATGTTTTATATAAGTTTGAATCACTTATAAATAATATCAGAATCTTCATATAGAATTTGTTGATAATTATACTTGTGTGAGAACTTGAATTTAAGCTCAAAATAATGATCAATAAATTGATTAACTTAGCATTTATCAACTATAGATGAAGATTTAATCTCAGTGCTAGAATTTTAGTTGATATAAGGAAAATTAACTGTTTCTTATACAGTGCACACTTAAAAAGACTGATTATATTTATTCATAAATAAAACTTACTGTACAAGAACTGACTCTTTAATAGAGACTAATTTTCAATTATTGAGTTGAGAATTTTCTTGTATTATAGAATCATTCAATTGATTCTATAAGATAATAAAAAATATGCTATATAAGCTTACAGCTTTCTTAATACTTGAAGTTTGATCTATTTTTAATGTTTGAATAGTTAAAAGAATCTTTTCTTTTTGAGTGAAAGCTTGAGAAATCTGTAAAGTAAGCATATTATTGATGTAAATGCTAGATGCATATATGTTAAATAAATTGATCAATTAAATAATTCAATTGACTTGATGAAAAATTTATATTAGTTAAAAATCTATTATTATCTAATTAATATAACTTGAAAAAACTTAATAAATAGAGGTTAAAAATCATATAAAAACCTTAAGAAAAAAAAATCAAAAAAAGCTTTCATAAGATGTTAATAATTAATATTATACTATTAAATATCAAAGATAATATACTCAAAAAGTATCAATCAAATTATTTAAAACTCTAATAATATAATACTCTAACTGATAAATATAAGGAACTAACTACAGCTAGAAAAGAGAGAAAAAAAATTTAACATCTATAAATATATATAAATATATCAAAAAATAATTACTTTTTTAATATTAAAAAAGTAAAAACTAAACACTAAAATGATTTTTTGAAAATGTAGAAAATAACGATATTTTTAAAGCTTTTAACTAAATTAAATCTAGGGAAGTAGTAAAGCTTCTTATATTAAAATAAAAATATCAAAATCAAAATTATACTATTAATATATTATAAAAAAATATTAAATATTTATAAGAGTTTTATTTTTAAAGTCAATAAAATTTAAGAAATATATTTCTATAAATAAATATTATAATATTAGAACAAAATAAAAGTGATTTAACTTAATAAAAGATGAGCTAGAAGTAGTTCTTTTCACTAGTTCTACTAAAACAACTACTATACTTGACTTATAAGTTACTTTATAATATATAAAATATATTATAAGCTAAAAAAAAAAACTTTCTATATTATTCTTTTTTTTAATAAAATAAATTTCATTTAATATAATGAAAAGAAATAATAGAAATTATTATAATAAAGTTTAATAAATAATTATTAATTTCTAAATTCTATAAAAAAAAATTTAAAAAAATTATTAAATCTAGATGTTTTTTTCTAATCACTACTAATAATTTACTATATAATAATCAAATAAGTAGTAGAAAATAAAGTTCAATTATAGATATAGTTTAATCAGCTATTTATAATATTCAAATAGTTAATAATAATAATCTATTTTCAACTACTATTTTTATTAATATAAAAGATACTTTTGATCATATTTTAAAAAATAAAATAATTTCAATTATGCAAAAGCTAAAGTCATTAAAGTTTTTAGTAAAATAAATCATATGTTTTATAATAAAAAAAACATTCAGCTTTTCATTAATAAAATAAAATAGAGAAATATCTTTATAAAAATAGAAATTTCTCAAGAATCTTTAGTCTTATCTATTCTTTTTACTATATATACTGCTAATTTATTCAAGAATAAAAGCATATATATAGTAAAAACTCTTAACTACATTAATAACATTGATCTTATTACTAGTTTTAAATCTATATAAGTAAATTATAATAATATAAGCAAAGTTATAGAGAAAATATTTCAAAAAAATAAAACTTTTATTTAATTTAATATAAATAAAATTAAATTAAATTATTTTTACTTAAAAAAAATAAATAAAAGAAAACTATTACTCTTTAAAATAAAGTTATATGATCAAAAACTTTTGTAAGATGGCTGAGAGTCTGATTAGACTTAAAATTCAACTTTAAAGTTTATATTTAAAAATAAATTACTTAAACTGAAAGAATTTTAAATAATAGTATTAGATTTTTAATGTAGAAAGAGATTTATTTTATCAAATTATAATATAATTAAAGATTATTAGATTATAATAAATACTCTAGTAATTCAAAGAAGATATTATTCTCTCAACTATATAGAATATATACTATAATTAAATGTAAAAAGTATAAATTATAATATACTTTATTCTTAAAAGAAAAATTAAATATCATTAATAAATATTACTATTAGTGAACTATTAAAGAAAGAGAAAAAATTATATATATTTAAAAACTTCTAAGATAAATAAGAAGAACTTATTATTGATATACTCAAATAATTTAAAAAGTAAATAAGAAGAGTTAAAAGTTAATAGAGTAGTAAAATATTTTATATTAAATTTAAAATATAAAATATTTTTATAAAATTTAGCAAAAAAATAAAGTTTTTAATATTGAATTATTTATAATTTAAAAAACTTTTATAATAACTTATAAAATAATTTTTAAAAAGGTAAATATTAATAATATTTGAATATTTTTAAATATTTCAATAATATTAAAAAAACTATAGGAATATAAAATTTAAAGTAATTAGATAAATTTTAAATTAAATCAAAATATACTAAAAAGAAATATAATTAAGAATAAAAATATTTAAATTTATTTATTTTAAGTATTTGCTTATATAAATATTTTAAAAAATGAAAAAATAGATTTAGAAATAAAGATTAAAATTAAAATTTAAAAAATAAATCAAAGAACTATATTCTATTATATATTAAAAAAAATTATAAAATTAAATCTTAATAAATGAGTAATAATCTGAGAAAAAAAAAGCATTTAATATAGAAGATATAAAATGAAATTGAAATAGAAGTCTATAATAATAAAATTTAAAAAAATAATATTTTTCTTTATAATACTTGAATATAACTACTTTAAATTATATATAAAAAAATTAAAAGATTTTTTCAACTTTAATAAATATTGTTAGACTCAGTGTCTGACTGAGTCTGACTGAGACTCAGTGCTCAGTTAGACTCAACATTGAATTAAGCTCAGCACTTAGTTAGGTCAAATATTCTCACATGATCAAATAATCATGCAGGTGATTATAACTCAGACAGACCTCAGCACCTTCTTTCATTCCATCAAGCTTAGTATTTTATTATATAGCAGTTAGCAATGCAGAGAGTTTTCTTCTTATGCAGCTTGCATTTGCTCTCTAACATAATACTAAGCTTCTTTCTATCTCTTCTACTCAGAATTGAGTAGAATCTGCTCAGCAAGAATCTGACAGCACAACATACAACAGCAACTCATCCCCCTTACTACTCATCAGAGAGACTCAGACCAGAATGACTACCTCAGACTTCCAGCTCTCTGAAAAGATCAAGAGGAACTGACAATATGTTCTAACTAGATCAACTGATCAACCACAGATCTCATTTGAAGAATTCAGACAGATGATTCACTCAGACAAGAACCATGTCTACAAAGAGTTAGCAGCAATCTTTGACAGCATCTTTGATAATGAAAAAACATTGAGAGATACAATCACACATCTGAGGATGGAATGAAACAATGTCACTGACCAGACTGCTGTCAAGCAAAGTCAGATTGATGAGCTAATTGCTGAACATGATGAACTTAGTCACACTCTGATCTGCATGACAGTCAGCAATCAAGCAGCAAGTCAAGATGTCATCTTCTCTGAGACTACCTGAAGGTCTGTCAAGATTGATGACTCAAAACATCTCACTGACAGCAAGAAGTCAAAATTTGAACACTGGCTCTTTCAGATGAAGAACAAGCTCTGAGGGAATGCTGACCACTACCCTACTGAATGCATGAGAATTGCATATATTGAAAACCAGACTGATGAGAACATGACATATCACATTGCACTCTGTATAAAAGAGGACCACTCTGAGCAATATCAGACTGCAGAAGAGATATTTGAGCACCTCAAGTCAATATATGAGGATGCTAACAAGCTGCAAAATGCCAAGAGTGATTATCACAAGCTGATTATGTGCAATGAGGACAATTATCATGAATTTGTCACAAAATTCTTACATCTGGCAGATGAGGCCAAGATTGTCAAAGAGAACTACAAGACAGACTTCAATGACAAGCTGTTCTTTGACCTTCAGAGGATGATGACAGTAGTTAATGCAATCATCAATACATATGCTGAGTTTCAGAAGATCTATGCTCAGGCAGCTCACATCCTTCAGACAATCAATGTCACTCAGAAGTCAAAGAGCTTGCAGGAAAATGAGTCTAATATCTTCAAGCAAAACACTCTGTGAGTCTCTGACAGTCAAACTTTTCACAGCATCTCAGTCACAAAATCCTCTATCATAAAGAAAGCCTTGGGTGCTCATTCAGATATTCAGTGCTACTACTGTAAGAAGAAAGATCACATTGCCAGAAACTGCTCTGCAAAGAAGAAGTCTCAACAGATGATTACTGAGCTCATAGAGAATGACACTTCTGAGCTTTCAGCAGATTCAGAAAAAGAATGAGTCTGAGAGAAGACTTCATCTCAGATAATTCAATAGTCTGTGAGAGGTTTGAGATGAAGAACTTGATTGAGAGAAAGAGCTTTAATGTCTCAATTAAGTTAGCTCATAATGAAATTGCTACTTCTACAAATTCTCTCACTGATACTGAAGCAAATGATGTGAATTTTATTGATACTCAATACACTATAGAATTGATGAGATTCTTCAATAGAAAGTTTCAGAAACTCTCATTCAAATGCTGCATGAAGGAATACAATGATGCCTCTGACAGAGTGATAGACTGCACATTGACTCTAAACCTCTGGGTGAATGACCAGAGATTCCAGAATGTTCCCCTGCTGGTGACAGACCTAGACCAGTACTCTGTCATCCTGGGACAAAAGTGGTTGACAGCACAGGATATATGACTGAATGTTAAAAATCAGCATCTGGTTTGGCTAAGTGAATGGTCTATCCTGGAACAGATGACAGAGCTGATGCTGAAGATAGTGCCCTGATCAATACTGAAGCATTCAGACTCTAAGTTTGAGCATCAGACAAATGTGAAATGAAGAGAGATCAAACTGGACAAGATGATCAGACAGGAGCATCAGGCTCAGCTCTGCAGATTGAAAGGGACCAGCTCAGCCATGACATCTAAGACAAGGCAGAGACTGACCTGGGAGGAGACAGCATCACAGATAATGAATATGAACTTCATTGAGACTGCTTCTTTCCATGGATATATGAAGAACAAGAACTTGACAGTCTTCATAACCAGTCTGTATGAAATTGATAAACAGCTCAAGAAGAAGTGAAGTTTAGTGGGAGCTGAGGAGAAGTCTGATGAGAAGCTGATCAGCAACTTATCAGAATGATTGAAAGGTCAGAAGAACTATTTCTCAAAGAAAGCATCAGATGAATTACCTCCTCTACAGAAGAACATTGATTTTAAGATAGAGCTTCAGTCTGACACTGATCTCATTCAGGACATTGGACATGCATCTCTATATAAGATGAATCTGAAGGAACTAGAAGCAGTGAAGATCTATCTTGAAATCAATCTAGCAAAGAGCTTTGTCATTTCAAGTTCAGCCCTCTACACCTCCTCAATTCTGATTGCTCATAGTGGGAAGAAGCTACAATTCTGTGTTGACTTTCACAAGCTGAATGCTATGATTAAACAAGATCAGTATTTCTTGCCTCTAATAGATGAGCTGATGAACCAACTCAACAGAGCAAAATACTTTACAAAGCTGAACATTCAGCAGAGGTTCCATCACATTCAAATGGACTCTAAGTCAGAGGATCTGACCATCTTTAGAACCTGCTATGAGATCTATAAATACTGAGTGATCCTCTTCAGACTTACAAATGCCTCTGTCTGCTTTCAACAGTTTGTCAACAGTATCTTCTTTGACTATCTGGACAAGTTCATGACAGCATTCATGGATGACCTTCTAATCTACAGCAGGACTTTCAAAGAACACAAGCAGCAAGTGAACCTGGTACTGAACTGATTAAAGACAGCAGGCTTGCAAGCTAGCATCCAGAAATGTGAGTTTGCTGTTCAGAGAACAAGATATCTGGGGTTTATCATTACCACAGAGAGAATTGAGACAGACTCTGAGAAGACTGCTGTCATCACAAAGTGGCAGATCTCAATCACAGTAAAAGATGTTCAATCATTTCTAGAATTTGACAACTTCTATCAGCAATTTATAAGAAACTATAGCTGAATTGCAAAATCACTATACCAGTTGACAAAGAAGACAGTTCTATTCATGTGGACATCAGAATGTCAATCAGTCTTTGAGAAACTGAAGAAGCAGCTGATGAAGGCTTCAACTCTACATTACTTTGACTCTGGATGCAAAACCCACATTGAGACTGATGCCTCAGATGAAGTGATGACTGGGATGCACTGAGCAGATCTGAGCAGGTTAAGAAGCAACAGAACAGCTGTATGCAGATTCTTCTAGAATCAAAGATTCTTGACCTTCAGATCACTTTCTCTATGAATATTGCTAGCATCAACTTCTCAGAGAAAGAGAACATTGCTGAACACATAGTGTCTTTAAACAAGACAGTCACCTCAATTGAGCCTCTGCAGCAGCAAGTAGAAAAGAAGAATAGCCTCTATACAATAGAGGATAATATGTTGCTCTATCATGAAAGATTGATAGTGTCTGTTCAGAAAGAAACTCTTATAGCTGCTCTGCTAAAGAAAATTCATGATCAGACCTCAACAGCACACCCAGAGGGATGGAAGACCCTGGCCCTGGTTTGCCCCCACTATTGATGGACCACCTGGTGGGCAGATGTCTTACACTATGTTCAGAACTGTCATACATGCTGAGTTAGTAAGATCTCAAGAAACAAAGCCCTCAGCCTGCTAAAGCCACTATCAATATCAGAATGAGCATGGCAGCATATTGCAATGGACTTTATGAATGTGCCAAAGAGCAAAAGTAACTGTGATGCCATTCTAGTTATAGTCTGTCAGTTAAGCAAGAAGACAATTTCAGTTCCTACCACCTGTGAAGTTACAGTCTGTGAGCTGGCTCAATTATTCATCTGATTCTACTATTTCTATAATGGAGCACCAGACTTGATTGTCTCTGACCATGACTCTCAGTTCATATCAAACTTCTGAGATAAGTTCACAGAAATTCTAGACATAAAGTTGAAACTCTCAACAGCACATCATGCACAGACAGATGAGCAGACAGAGGCAACAAATCAGTATATTGTCACACATCTTCACTCATATGTTAATTACTATCAAAATGACTGAGATGAGTGATTACTCATTATAGATTATGCTTCTGCAGTCATCTCAAACATCTTCACTGAAATCTTCCTCTTTCTAGCTGTAAATGAATATGAGTCATGAACATCATTTGACTGGAGGCCTCTGCCAAGGGAACTAAGAACAGAGAAGAGAACAAATCAAAGAGCTGCTCAAAACTTTGTTAAACAGATGAAAGAGATCTGAAAGTGAACAGACAAGAGCATGAAGACAGCACAGAAACAGATGAAGAGATAGACTGACAGATATCACTGAGAATCTGACTTCACAATGAGAGATTTTGTCTATTTGACATTGAAATCATACAGAATTGACTGATCAAGCTGTAAGCTGACAGCACAGAACACAGATTTCTTCAGAATTTTAGAGAGAATGAGCAATGTCTATAGACTGAACCTCTCCACAATCATGAAAATTCATTCAATCTTCTTCTCAGACAAGCTGTGCAAAGATTCAAGAGACTCTCTACCAGAGCAGACTATCAAACCACCAGATTCAATTAAGATAGATGGAGAAAATGAATGAGAAGTGAAGCATATATTAGTCAGTCAAATAAATCAAGACAAACTGCAATATCAAGTCCACTGGAAGGGATTTGATGAGGACTCATCTTGGTACCTAGCTCATGACTTCAAAGAATCATCACATGTCATATGTGACTTCCATGAAGCTAACTCTACAAAAGCCAGACCTCCAAGACAACTAGATGAGTGGCTGAAGGCATGGGAGACAGACAGCTATCTGAAGGATGAGGTTGATGACAACCTACCAGCATGAGAACATGCCTGTCTCTAGACTAGGGAGTGATGTTAGGCTCAGCACCTGACTGAGTCTGACTGAGGCTCAGTGCCTGGTTAGACTTGACATCAGATTAAGCTCAGTGCCCAGTTAGGCCAAATATTCTCACATGATCAAATGACCATGTGGGTGGTTATAACCTGGGCAGGCCCCAGCACCTCCTTTCATTCCATCAAGCTTAGTATTTCATTATATAGCAGTTAGCAATGCAGAGAGTTTCCTTCTTATGCAGCTTGCATTCACTCCCTAACAAATATAATTTCTATGATATAGTTGAAAATTTAGATTATATACTAATGAATTGCTCATTAAATAATGAGATAAATAAGAAATTAAAAGAAAAATATATAATTAATCAATTAAATATAATTTTTTTATTTAATATTAAATTAAAAAGAAAGTTTTTAATTAAATTTATAGAGAAAATAAAAATTATCTTTAAAGAATAAACTTTAATTTCAAATAAATATAATATTTAATTTATAAAATTTGAGAATATATTTTTAATAATACTTTTAGTAAGATTTTTTTATATTAGTTTATTATTTTATTTTATTTTATTTTATAATTATATTAATTTATTTTATTTTATACTCTATTGAGTTGTTTATATTGTTTTATAAGAAATATTTATTTTATTTAAGTTGAAAAAGATATTAAATTAAAATTAAAATTATAAATATATCTTTTATTAAAAAATTACTAAATAACATATTATTCTAAGATAAAACTTTATAACTATGAGTTAATTGCTATTTATTAATTAGATTAGTAAAATAGTTAAATTCTAGTTCAATTAAATAAATATCATAGTTATTAACTAAATATATATTAAATAAAGATAATAGTAATAATAATAATTAGTAATAAAATAAATTAAGTAAAAGTAAAGTTATTTTATTAGCAGTTTGCAAATTTAATAGAAAAAAAACAGAAAATAATTGATTAATCTGCTTGAAAAAATCTTTAATATAATTAGAATTATCTGCAATTTATTACTTTTAATTAATTATATATAATTATATACTTTTTAATTTATTTAATACTTTTTAATAAATTTTCTAGTGAATTCAATCTTTAAATTTTGCATTATTTGAGATGTAAAATCAAGACTGTGATCTGTTAAATAATTTATATACTGAATAAATATTTTTTTTTATAAGTTAATTAATTTTTTATAATATTTTGATGTTATATTAAATTTGCAAATCTGCTTATTTATACTACTGTGTCAATGTAGTCAGACCTATTTTATATTTCAAAGCAGTTTGCTTATAATTTGGAAATTCTTGTGATCTTAAATCTTCAATTGCAAGCTGAATTTCAGCTTTGTTGACCATAGTGTTAAGGTTTGAAGTTGAAAAATTGGGGTGGAATATATGAAATTGTTGGGTGGTGGAAATTGTTGGGT